ACAAAATCAAACACCACTACAACCAACTCAAACACCACAACAAAATCAAACACCACTACAACCAACTCAAACACCACAACAAAATCAAACACCACTACAACAACCTCAAACACCACTACAACAACCTCAAACACCACCACAACAAACTCAATCACCACCAAATCAACCTCAAACACCACCACAACCAGCTCAACCAACCGCCTCACAGCCACAGGTTCAACCAAATCCGGATGCTAAACATGATAACGATAAGCCAGTTACATCACCCCCATATAACCCTCCTCCTCGTGATCCTCCTGCGCCTGCGCCTGCGCCTGCGCCTGCGCCTGCGCCTGCTCCAAAGAAAATTCCTATTACCTCACAATATACAACTTATTCTGATGTTTGTTCAGATAATCCATCCTGTAAAACAGAGTACGTTTTAAATTCGATTTTTCATTATATGTTAATTAAGATCAAATTTAAAAAATTACAAAACTTAATCTACATTTTGTTGTCTCTCTTTAAAGCACTAACAAACAAGATACCGGTAAAACCGAAACTATACAAAATCCTGTCCATAAAACCAGAACTACCATACCGTCAGACTACGATAGTAAAACAATAACTGCATTCGTAACTAAAGTAGTTACAGTAACCGTTACAGTATATGTTCCAGGCTATACAACTACTCTTACTGATTACAAGAATGGTGAACCAATATCCTATGAAACTTACTATCCACCAAGTACTAAGATTATCTTGGAAACTGTCACTTCTGTTGCACCCGCTGGTTTTGAATTTGAAGAGAGTAAAGAGAGTAAAGCAATAAAATTAGGTCATTATGGTTTGTTTAATCGGAATAATGATGGTTTAGTTAGTGTAGTTTTAAGTTTATGGGTTGTAATGTGGAGTTTAGTATATTTAATTTTATAAATCTATAATAAATACTATGTAAATTTAACTATCGTACACCTGAATGATTAATCATTGTTATGCATTGTTAGTCGGTTATTATCATTAGCATATTGATTGTGCTAAGTGATACAGTAGATAATAACCTATTAATCGACAATTTGCACTTCTAGTCTCAATAAATATAATTAACCTTGTTTTTGCAATGTTAGCCCTATAAGAAGTCACTGCACGGGTGCACGGAATTGTAAATATGTGGTAACACTAAATTACACGTAAATATATACAGGACAGTGCACTAATTATCATGTTAAACATACGTCTAAAACAAATAAAAAGGTGCGGATTCTGTGCAACATTACACGTTTTGACGTGCATTTTTACGTGTTTTCATATTTTTTTTTACGTGTTGTCACGTATACTTTTATGTGAGTAATATACTTTTCCTTACAATTATGTATGACTACGTGTTTAAATGTTTTTATTTTTTTCGATAGATTTCAGTGCAGGAATTGAATTACGTGCTTATTCCGTACCAGATTCCGTAGTAATACGATGGACGACATGTATTGTTTGCCGTAATTATTTTGAGCAGTTGTTCTCAGATTTCTTTATTTAGTTAGTGCCGCCGTTTTATTTTAAATATTTTGTATATGTTTCATCACAAAGTATGTTATAATATTTGTTAAATATTTAATTAATAGTTTAATAATACTTAATTAATACTTATTAAATATAAGGTAGGTTGGAAATGCAATTACAAATACTTATTTAAAAAATTAACCATTTAATAAATACTTTAATAATATTAAATTTAAATACTTGTTAATATTATCCATTTGTTAAGTATAAGGTTG